CCTTTTGCATGGTTTATTTTATATAGCGCAGACTATTTTGATACCTTTTTATACGGTCTCTGTTGTAGTCATTTCACCGCCATTGTGCATCAGCTCACATGTTTTTTGCAAGTCCCAAGTAAGCCCCTATGTATGTTAATTGTCTTCTGAAGTCCTGTTTTCTTTCTCTTCTTCTTTCTTTCATATAGCGTGAGCTATTCAGTTTTCCTGTGACACTGTATCACTAAGTACGGTAGTACTTATGACACAGGTCATCCTGCATCATGCCCATACATTTGAGAATTTCATGTTTCACTTTAAGTTTCACTCAGGCCCAATTTTTGACACATCAGACTGATTTGTATCGTCACAAAGAGCATGTATCCAAGAAATGGCTTAAATCGCATAATCGGTACTTGATTTATTCAAGAAAGTTAGTTTTCAAAAATCTTGTTGTTGTTCTTGTTCAGTTTAGATATGCGTATCTCAAAAACCACATAAGATATGGAGATTAAACTGTGCACAAAGATTGGAATCCGTGACCCGGCGTGCAAGAGCAGTTTTATTTCTTCGTAAACAATATTGTTTATATTTAAGCAACTAAAAATAGCCCCAGGCAATACATTATGATAACTAGGTAAAGCCAATACCCAGAGTGATAAAACTTTGTACACATAAAACAACCCATTATTAGTAACCAAATGTAAACATTACAAGTTCGTAAACAACAACAAACAGCCTCAGGCAATTAAAACTTGTAAAATGTGTTTGTGCCTCTAACTTTGCTTATGGTTGGTCCTCTAACAATGAAACTTGGTAAACTCATTCACCATCATCAACAATTCATCGATACAGAAATTACAGGGTTGAAAACAACAACCAACAGCCTCAGGCAATAAACAGTGTCAGTGCCTAAAACTTGCTTGTGATGGGTCCTCTCGCAATGAAACTTGGTGCACTGATGTAATGTGAATGACGCAAATGTCTGAGGCGATAGCTTAAGGCCACTAATGTTACTTTTTTAATGGACTTATGCCCAAAAAATATCCCCTTTTATATGCACACCAAGCATGTGAATGCAGTAAGGAGACAAGTAATTCTGCGAATTAAAAAGGTGTGGAATATAGGGATGCCATAAAAAGCAAGGAGACAAGACAGGGATGACCTAGTGCATTAGTACAATGGGATGATGGTTACATCTTCAAACTGACATTGCTTGCTCGTGCAAATCTTCTTCAACACAAGCCCTATATTGTTGCCAAGCATGAGTGAGCCCCCTCATAGAATGATTCCTCTCTGAAGCACGTGATGCACAGGTGTTGCCCTCTCTGACAGCTCCTCCGTTTTTGGTTGTGACTGCATTGTGTGCAGTCTAAGACTTCCTTGCTCGCTCAACTAACGATGAGTTTTACAATGCTGTGATCATGGCCCGCCAGAGAATCCCTTTACAGACTGGTCTTAATACTCTAAAGAGTGCCGGCTAAATGCACTGTCATTATAATCTCTTGCTAGCACAAGTGATCTCTATTGTATGATGTGCAGCTATGATTCGTTTCTTATGCACAAGTGGATCAATGTGTCTCAGCCTTACCATTGTCCTCCCACTAAACAAATTCATGTTGTGAGAAAAGTGGCGACAATATAGGGCTTGTGTGGGGGAAGATTTACACGAGCAAGCAATATCAGTTGAAGATGTAACCATCATCCCATTGTACAAATGCACTAGGTCATCCCTGTCTTGTCTCCTTGCTTTTTATGGGATCCCAATATTCCACACTTTTAAATTCGCAGCATTTTTTTATTTACTTGTAAACATTAGTGCATGTGCACACTAGAAAACTGTCCTACAATCTAAAACAATTACCGCTGCTTACACATAAATGCAAGCACTCACATGTTCTATGCAGTCATAATGCCATGCATTATTAAATGGGAAAACCACTGATGTGCAAACCCTTGGCGTAGGGAACACACGCGTGTTACTAGCGCAAAATAATTCGCTCATAATGTGCATGGCCAGGCAACTCCAAGCTAAGCTTTGTCGAGGTAAGCCATTGCTGATTGACTTTTTGCTTGATTTCACGCCATATTTCTCGAATGCAGTTGCTTCCGGAATATCGCCTTCTTTCTTCATGCCATAATATATAAAGCACAGTTATTCGATAGGCTGGGCTATACCACTCATTCATGCCAAGGGGGTAGTATTTAGAGCAACGCTGGACTGGATACACACCCCTGAGTAACCTCACCCCTCCATGGTGTGCTGAACCTGGTCCAAGGCAAGCCAATGTTGATTATTCATACTGGCTTTTTCGCTTGTTCACGCCATGTCACCATCTAGTTAGACCTTTTATCCCTGTGCACACAGTTTAATAAATCTAGCTGATGTCATCACTCAACGTACTTTCCTTCAGCCACGCAGGCGTTATGATTCTAAATATGAAAATATTGTTGGTATATGTAATTATACAAGTAAATAACAAAATATCTTCCAAATAAAAGTGTGGGATATAGGGATGCCATAAAAAGCAAGGAGACAAGACATAATGTATGTGATGCAGTAGTAGAATGAATGATGGGCCCCCCCCCATCTTCAAACTGATTGCTTGCTCAGGTAAATGATACTCAAAAGCCCTATATTGTCACGAAGCATGACTGTGCTCCCTCACAGAATGTCTCATTTGCTACACAAGTAATGCACAGGTGCTGTCCTCTCTCATAGCTATGTACTCGGTTTTTGGTTGTGACTGCATTGTGTGCAATCTAAGACTTCCATGTTCGCTCAACTAACGATGAGTGTTACAATGCTGTGTTCGTGGCCACGAATAAGCAATGTCTGTTTGAAGATGTAACCATCACCCTATTGTACTAGGATGATGGTACTGCATCACATACACTAGGTCATCCCCTGTCTTGTTTCCTTGCTTTTTATGGCATCCCTATATTGCACATTCGAAATATTTTTTACTTGCCTCCTTTCTTTTTTTACGGCATCAACATGCATTGGGGCATAATGGCCATATAAAAAGTAACATTTTTAATTGTCTCAGACTCTTTACCGTCGTTAACATGTTCCTCTCACCACCAAAGGATATAGGTGTATCAAGTTTCATTGTTAGAGGACCCACCATAAGCAAGTCTTAGGGACAAACACGGGGTACAAGTTTTTATGGCCAGAGGCTGTGTTGTTTTACACACTTGTAATGTTTACATTTTGATACTAATGATGGGTTGCACATGGGTGCAAAATTATATCACTCTTAGATACGTATATGGTTTACCCAGTTAGCACACTTTATTGGTCACTATCACAATGCATTTGTCTTTTTGTTTTTTACATGTAAACAACATTGTTTAAAAACAAATTAAAATGCTCTTGCACGACCTGTCATGGATTCCAATCTCTGTGCAAAGTTTAATTTTTCAGTATCTTATCTGGTTTTTGAGATACGCTTATTGAAACTGAACGATAACAGCAACAAGAAGAAGAATTTTGAAAACAGACTTTCTTATTAAATCAATTACCTATCATGCGATTTACGCAATTGCTTAGGTACATGCTGTTTTTAACGACACGATCAGATTTATGTCAGAAGTGATCAGATCTGATTGAAAGTGAAACATACAAATCTTCGTTGTATTGAGTTTAAACATGTTGCGTCTGGGCGTATGTGAATTTGGTTTGTGTTTATTTGTTAATGGTTCTGCCCATTGCTTTGGGTGCGTAGTACAAATGGCACTAGTGCTATGGCTGCAAACTTATTTACCGAATATGCCTTGAATTTGCCTCACATTCACTCAGATTCAATCTCTGAGAGTCTAATTTTCCTGGAGGAGCAAGCCTCCAAAACCACCTAGGTGACGGATAGCACAACTCCGTAAATGTTTTACTTAAAACACTGGATTTCAAAAAGAAATCACTGAGATTGCACAAGCAATGCCCAATTCTCGCCTCGGAACCCAGGCCTTCTCTGTTTACACAGCTTTATAGTATGCACGAAGTATTGTGTGCAATATATTAATGGGCGATCTCCCCGACGAATAAGGAAGGCCGAAAAGCAAGTTTCACCTGAGTAGACAATGAGTGAGTAGACTGCCCCCGCACAATTAGTGCACACTATGAAACAGCAGCACATTTAGAGAACAGGCCAGCTGCTTCCCTACCACTTGCAGAGCTACCACAAGCACCTTCCTCGGTGCTCCTGACATCCATTCACACGGACAGGGTCGGCAGTCATAATTTCGGGAGCAGAGCCTACTTGCTTACTCAAAGGCCTTCGCACTTTTACACAGAGATTGCCCACGCACAGCCATTGCACATAAAACAGCCAAAACTGGGAAGGCCTGATCTCCAAGACTACCAAAATCAACTAGTGATGGAAATCTAGGGCTGTCCGTTGTGCAACTTCGTTGTGCTGATAAGCTCCTGCTACAACTCACCAAGGATGAGAAATTAGGGGCCAAGAAAGTTGATAGCACTAAATGTACATCTTAGTTAATCAAACGACTACGATTCCAACCACTTCATTTCATAATTCCCAGAGTGAACAATGAACTTCACAGTTTGGCTTATATCCTGTTTGGCATTCAGGTAGGCTACTCAGTGTTCCTCACAATGTAGCCATGAAAGAGTCACAGTGCAGTGCTGATCATCTGATCTGATTGGTCCACACGAGGTACTTACTTCCCGTAGTATACTTGGGACGCTCCGTAGTAAACCTTGTTTTTCATGTAAATTTTCACATATAAAAAGATTACGTACATCATCCACAGAAACATGAAGCTTTATCGTCTACAATAATTCTTTTTTCAGTATGCACAGAGAGACAAGAAGGGGGCTAACTATACGTAAGCGTCTGTACGATACCACTAGCGGTACATCACGCCCGCGGATACGAGTGGGCGGCACCCTTTTCCGCAAAGCGTGGTGGACTACAAGCGAGTGCTGTAGCTTCTGCCTACCATTTCTGGCTCGCAGCTAGTGGCTGAAACCTCGCTCGAGTCTCTTATCCATCGCATCTTCACGCTCATTCGAATTTCAGTCGCCTGGAAACAGGCGCTGTGCATGTGCGGATTTGTCTGCTCTGCACTACATAACTCCGTTCGATATATATATATTCTGACCTGTATAAAGCTCCAGGAGAATGAGGACCTCATAGACGTCAGGGGATATCTTGAGTATGGAGGAGGCCAAGTAGGTCACCGAGTGGGGAGAGTCTGACAAGGCTTTCTAGACACAACAGACAACAATACACCATGACACAGCAATGCCTTAAAATGCCTTCAAATGAGTTAGCAAGACACAATAGTTTCTGCATTAATACAGATGCTACTGTGATACGGTAGCATACTGTACATCACTGTCAATACATGTTAGGTGGGAGGGAGAAAACAGCCTTGTACAAACAGTGTCTTCATTCATTCCAAGTCCTTCCAAGTCATTTGTGAATGTGACTTTGAAAGGCCGGGTCTATCGTTTCTATCCATCCAGTTGGCTGTGTGACACAACAATCTCTACTCACCGATGCTCTTTTGATGAAAAGCATAAAGTGCAAACACTCCGCGAAAAAAGATTCAGGGGAGTGACAGTGATAAAAGGTTTGTGGGGAGTGGGAGTTATAAAAAAGGATTCAAGGGTATATAGAAGGCTCTCTTAAACTTTTGTGTCATACTCCTGTATATGTTCTATCAAATCTCTCTTGGATTAGTGCATATGGTGTCTGAGCTTGTTGTGGGTAAATTGCACCATGCAGGGCTGTATCAATAATCTGTCTGTCAATTAGTTTCGTCACCGTCACTGTCATCATCACTGTCGCCCTCTTCCCCAAACTCAATCCTCTTCTCCTCCACCGTGTCTTCTATAATCTCTTCCTCTTCGATGTACTATTTGTTCTCAATATCCACTACAAGTCTGCAATAATTCCTTGCTGTGTGTGTAAAGCCCTCTGGTGTTAGTTGTTCGTTCTCTTTCAGGTTGAAGTTTTCATTTTGTTTTGCTACGTCTCCTTTGACAGATAGAACTACGTGTCTATGGTATTCAGCTGCTTCATCCATTAGTACAGTGGCTTCGGTCGATGCTGGCATACCTTTTCCAGTAACGTCTTCTTGATTTCCTTCTCGTTTGTGTGGCTGTCCAACCTTTTTTTTTCCTTCTTTCTGCTAGCTGCTGTTGGTGGCTTATCTTTTTGTTTGTTGTGATATGTTGCATTGTCTAGTATAATTACAAGGTTTTGTGGTATGTTTGGTAGTATTTGTTTGTTGAACCATTCCTCGCTATTCGTGGTAGTGTGTTTTTGACGTAAAAACTAAATATGCTCCTTCTACCCAACCCTCTGTAGCTCTCGCATGTAACACAATCAGTCTTCCCACTTGGAACCTTCCATCTTCCTTTTGCATCACTGTCAACCCATATATACTGGTTTGTATGATGTGCGTTTACCTATGTTTTATCCACATATCTTGTTTTGTCATTGGCACTTCATTAATTGTTTTTAACTATGTGTGTCTTTGTACCAGAATTGATGTCGGTTATCCTGTACATAAATTGTTGGCCATCTTTCTTTTTGTAGCTGAAGCCCATTTCACACAAGGCCCGCAACAAACAGTACCGGCTCCCTGGGAACGAACATTACTCCTTCACCTTTTCCAACACTGCGGAGTGTCAGATATTCTTTTTGGGCATAAAAGTCAGATAACTTCTTGTTGAATGCATCTAGGTTTATACGCACACGTGATGCTGCATACTGCTTTACTGGGGTACATCTTCCAATTGAAATTGTGTGTGTGTGTTTCGCACACTCCTTACAGAGACTCCTGTTGCTGCTGTTGTTCTTTCTACGACCTGTTGTCTCTTGAGGCGCATACCTACTGAGTGCTTCTTAAAGAAATACCTCACATTCTCCACAATGTATTTAGTCTGTGATGATAGCCACACTGCTTTCCCAGGCTTTTTTTGCAATTCCGTGCAGCTCCTCCCTCACCTGGAGCTTTTGAGCAGCTGGTAGCCTTCTTCCCATTTTGATCATAAATAATGCATTATATAATCTTTTTTTTGCTCTACTAACTTGTTATGCGTCTGTTCCGAAAATATCTAGCCAAAGAAAATCACTCTTCTGGTTGTAAAAACCGCCAAAAACCTCAAAACCATGTGCAGAATACTGTCCCCACAGATATATCAAACATGACACATTACTGCGTAAACAGTCCGGACTTCTCTACTTCCAACTGCAAGGTTAATGCGAACAGACTTTAGGCTCAGGCCCTTACTTTAACTTCCTTATGTGGCTAGTCCATTTACAATTAATTTCTAAACGGGGCTTGCCTCCTTACATAGGATTATAGGTGGAAAATAACAAGGAAGAATACACGGAGAGTATGGCAGACAAGATAAGGTTGGAAAGTCATAAATCATGAGAACTCAGAGCCCATCACAATCCTTACAGTATGCCTCAGAAAAGTTCCTGTTTTCGTGGAACGGAACAGCCTTTCGATTCCGTACCATTCCTTTCCGTTCCATTGAAAAATGCGTGGGCGCTTCGTAGAGAGATTGTGAGAGATGGGACCATAGAGATACGGTGATCATCTGAGCCCTTTCCCTTTACTCTGAGGGTCAACCCATAACCGCAATTGTCTGCGCTCTGGAGGTCGAAGGATTGTGCACTGTTTAATAGCGCGCTCCTCCATGGTAGTAGCACCAGCCCCTCCCTCTTCTGCAACCTCAGCGCTAGACTAGGCACACGTGCGGACACAAATAGCTCAGCAGGTTGCTAGTGCAGCAAACAGCTCGCGGCAGGACGACACACACACAAGCTGACAAAAAACAGCCGCTTCTGCACGCGTTTTCTTTGTGAACGGACCAAACGGAATGGAATGGAAAGGCCGTTCCATTTAGAAGTCAACCGTTTGCGAACGGAACGGAGGGAAACGGAAACATTTTTGACTACTGCATATTGTTGCCTAATTGTAGTTAAAAATCTTTAACAGGGCAAGGTCTTGTCTGAGTTGGTACAGTTCTTCAAACTCACAGTAACAGCAATCTCCTGCCGTACAATATACAGGTCTTGCTCGTTGTTCACTGCCATTCTTTTGAGAGCATACTTCTGACTACGTTTCCCCTTTACAAGGAACACCAAAGCAAATCCTCCTAGAAGGAAATAGAGGTATATGCTGAAGCAGCATGATCAGATTGTAACGTGACAAATCCTGCAAATATGATAATATAAAAAGGGAGACAAGATAATCGGGATGGGATACATGCATGAAACATGGTTAATAAACACATTTTAGCATACCATAGGAATCAGTGTACTCTAATCTATTGTTTCCTGGTGAGCGACACTTAAACTCTTTTGGACTCTAAAACACTAGCATGACTTTCTTGTATTCTCAAGCTATAGGTCCAGGCTATTGTAATGGTGAATGTTTAATACTCTACCTGTAGATAACAATATAGGGATTGTGTGATGGAGTCGGGGGATCAGTGTGCTCAAATCTGTTCGTTAACCATGCATTATGTATCCCATCCCTATATTGTCTCCTTTTGATTTTATACCATCCCTATTTGCAATTCGCAGGATGTTAAATTTGTCTCCACTCACTTTCAACGTATAATTATCTCCAAGAAAGTGGGCAAGCTCCGTAAAAAATTAATAATAGTGGAAAATGGCTGTTGTTGAGTAAAACATGTGGTCGTCATGTAAACATGCAGTAGGTGTCTGTACCAAGTTTCATTCACCTCCATGCACGCTACAATTAGCAAGTTTTAGATGTGAATAAGTAAAATTAAAGACAAGTTCCCGAGGCTATTTGCTATTGTTCAAACGATGTGTTTGTCGTGAAAACAGTGTACAAAGTATGCATGCTACCATCAGCAAGTACAAGGAGTGAAGAAGTGATTATTGCCTGAGGCTATCTATTTGTAGTTGTTCAAACAATATGTGTCGTCACGGCTGTAATACACACACGTACCAAGTTTCATCTCCATACGTGCTACAATTAGCAAGTTTTAGGAGAGACAATTGGCTTACCCTGCTTCTGTTGTTTACAAACATGTAATCGTCAGAGAAACATGTAGTTGTCTTGTCTTGTATTCGTACCAAGCTTCATCTCAATGCGTGCTACTATGAGTAACGAATTAAATGTCTAAAAAGTGGCTGAGGTTATTTGTTGTTGTTTACAAACATGTATTGTTGTGATTATGATGTTGGTGATTGAATACATTATATATACAAAGTTTCGTTCACATAGCCCTTAACCATTTGTGAGTCACACAATGACACATGTATGCCCATTATAATGTATTGCCTGGGGAAATTAGTTGTCGTTAACCCTCGGCGCGCATGCGCAGCGAGGGTTACAGTAGTTGGGTTTGTGCGTGTGTGTGTTACTCTCAATCTCACTTTTCGAGTGTCTGTTCGTCTCACGAAGGATACGACCTACTTAACGGGCAATGAAGGTCAGAAATTTCGAACGGTTTTCTCTGAAACTACTCCGTTGCAAAGCTAGAGCGCGAAAAAGCCAATATGCAAATACACAACGGACGGGATAGCTTACTACGGTCTGATCGATCCGCGTGCTCTGCATACCTCGGAGGCACCAGAAGATGCAACGCAGGGCGTGTATCGCCTCTCGCATGCTATCTAGTAGTGTAGTTAGCCCGCGTCAGACTCTGCGCGAGCTGGCAAGAGACCATGAGTAACAAGCTAAAACTAAACCCAGCCCATCAATTAGTGGTACGGCGCATGCGTTTACTTACGCGTGCGTGTCACAGTGCGCCGAGGGTTTGCACTTCAGTGCTTTTCATTTAATAAGTAGATGTAGGACCAGTCTCTTCGGATGACGGATATCTACAAAATTTCATTACTAATTTTTCTTAGTGTTAGCAAATTGGAGGACTGACGATGTCATATGGCGTTTTGTCATTGTTTACAAACATGGAAGTAGGTAAACATGTAGTCGTCGTGCAAAAAATGTCACACGCATGCGCACCAAGTTTTGTCATGCATGGTACTGTGGGCAAGTTAGAGGAGCGAAGAAGTGCCTCATTTGCACCATGCTTCATACCTATCTTATCTCCCTCTCTATCCCTATATACCTCTTTCTTAAATTAGCAGGATTTGTAATATTGTACTACTGTACTTAGAGATATCGCGTGTTTTCTTGCACACTTCAGGTCATATATATGCAATAATAATTATTTTATCCACACATAAGGGATGGTTGACAAAAGTGTGGTTTATGAACAGATTCTTTGCATACCAGTATAGATGATTTGGAATGGGCGTGGTCAAATACATCATGCGCGGGGTGATGCCATTTTGAGTGGCAAAATGGGGAAGAGTTGCTGCGCGGTCGGGTGCATGAATAGATGCCACACAGGCTGTGGCCTAGAATTTTATCGATTTCCAGGAGACCCTGTTAGAAAAAGGCTGTGGATAGCTGCAATGTCAAGAAAGAACTGGATACCAAATGTGTTCTCGTGGATATGCAGCAGCCACTTTGTTGGAGGGAATAAATCAAACGACCAAACATCACCGGCATACACGCCCTCCCTTTTTAGCCATGTTTGATCTCCAGTGAAAAGAAAGGCTGCTGATGACCTACGTAGATTCAGAGAAAAAAAAGAAGAACGGAAAGTTTCGAAATAGAAGAGAGGCAAACAGAGGGGAATGCGTCAAATATTCAACAGAAAGGTTATCAGAAGAGCTGGAAAGCATTGAAGGTTTGGACAGTGTAGTACACTAGCTCTTCCACGACGACCAAATTGTCACTTAACGATTTGACATGGCAGAACAGGCGGCCCCAGAAGAGGATGCCGAAATTTCTCATCTAAAAAAGGAGAATCTTGAACAATGTATGCAAAATTCATCTCTGAAGAAAGCCAGAATAATACAAGAAACATTGAAGGATAGCGATGCAACTGGGCTCCCATCATATGGTGTTTTAAAGCAATTTATGATTTTGTTTACCCTTGTGTGAAGGTAGACTATTATCTCTTTTTGATCAGTTCCTAATGGTCCTTGTTCTCTTACGTCTTAACATGGACATCGAGCATCTTTCTTACCACTTTCAGTTGCACATTTCTACTGTGTCTCGAACACTAAGGAAATGGATTACTGTGCTATAACGCCTAAAAGTAAAGTGGCCTCAACTTGAACAGCTCTATAAAACTATGCCTAGTGACTTTTAAACGTTTGGAAAGTGTGTTGTAATCATAGATTGGTTTGAAGTTTTTATGGAAAGACCTTCTGCACTTAAGGCCAGGGCACAGACACGGTCGAATTAAAAGTCACAATACATGCAAGTTTTTACTTGGGATAACACCACAAAGCAGCAGCATCTCTTTTGTTTCACAAGCATGGGGGTGGTCGTGTTTCACATGTGCACTTAACTGACAACTACTAGATAACTATTACCTGGCGATATAATACTGACCGATCGAGGGTTTTCTATTCAAGAAACTGCAAGCCGTCATTGTGCCGAAGTAAAAGTGCCATCATTTACTAAAGCAAAAGCTCAATTAAGTAAATGTGAATTTGATACCACTCTGAGCCTTGCCCGGGTTCGTAATCATGTCCAATGTGTAATTGGTGTTTTGGGACAGAAGTACAAGATTTTGGGTTCCATTCTACCTGTTAACTTGGTTATGTGTGTGGCGAGGATGAACAGTTAAGCATAATAGACAAAACTGGTAGTTTGTTCTGCTCTTCGTAATTGTTGTGACAGTGTTGTAGCATTTGACTAAGTTTATTATAATAATATTATTGTTAATGAATAATGTGACAATACACAATAATGACTCTTTAGTTTTCAGTTCTAGTTCTTTTTCTTCCCTCTCTTTCCTTTGTTAACATTCCGGGCTGAACCACTTGCCACGGGGCACTTTACCTGATTTTGCACTGTTCATTGTCGCACTGAATCATTTCCCCCAGCTCACCCTGGCGACAAGAGCACCACTAAGAGGTTCCGGCTGATTTTCAAAGTTTTCTTGCTGATGAGGATGAGCATACTGTGGTAGTCTTGAATACCACTTCACTAGAGCTTCAGGCCATGGGATAAACAAATATGTAGCTCTTTCTATGGCAACCTCAAGCTGTGGTTCATGTATTGCTATCCGTTCTGCGACTAGTTTATTTTCTCGCCACACAACGAAGTCACCAAACTTAGTTCCACAGATTTTCATCTGCAGCTGTAATAATATGCATTGTCTCGTTGTAAGGTGAAACTGCCATTAGTTTTCTTGTATGAAGAAAGCAGGCTCCGCTATTGCCTCAAGAAAGGCTTTGTTCTAACATGAGAACGGGCACTTTACTTTAACCACCCCACAGCAATCACACTTCACAACACTGTCAGGTGAGCTACCATATGAGGATATTCAATACTGAGCACTAAACCATTATGGGACATTTCAAAACCAGGGTGATTAGGTTTTTCTTGCTGCTGATAGGCTGCAAGAGCATCCCTTTCATGGATAAACCCCCATTCAGCAGCTTTAGACTTAAAATTTAGGCTCTCTGGGTAAAACAAATGCACTTAATCAGTGACTGTGATGACTGGCTTAGATCAGTTTTTGCTGTAGCCTTAAACCTGGAAGCCGTGATCGTCCCTGCTCTCTGGGAATACCACATTTTTTTATTTTGCCTGTTCCTTCGTTGCCTCTTCTACCGCTTTAACTTCATAATGTTAAAGTGTGAAATGTCTGTTCACACTTTGTTAACAATGAAGGAAAAGACAGATCAAGATATTCGTCCTCATAAAGATTCATTAATAAAGTAGGGAATTTTGCCTGTGATTGTAATGGCAGATAAGTGTCACAAAACCCTGGAACAAGTGACAGTATCGCAGGCTTTGATCCTGCTTCGGAAAGGTTGTGGTAACAATTTCACAAAAAGAGGGTGCTAAACTAAGCAATATCACATATTTTGGCAAAAGGTACATTCTTAAAGGTTGGAGGTAGCCATAACAAGGCTGTGATGCACATGAAAGGTGTTTTTGGTGAGTATTAGCATCCAACAACAAAAAGAAGGGCAGCAACGTGCGAACATGCTTCGCCAAGGCCTGCCATACAATTGCAGTGGCTACATATAACTAATCCCTCCTTTTCAACTGCTACCCATGCTTGAAGTGGACTTACAGAGAGTTGTTTCACTTTCCCATAAACAACACAAGCATAAGTTTCAGACCAAACAACAACTTCATTTATCCAGCCATCCACAAAATATCTATATATAGCCCTCCAGACTCTTGTACGCTTTCAGCTGCTGCTTCGTATAAGTACTGATGGATGTCAGGAAATACTTAAAAATATCTGGGTATTCTACGTTCGGCCAACCAAGCCAACTCACCTCTTGAATTCACAACAATTATCGTTATATTATACTGGTGCTGTGCCCCTCCTAGCATAGCTAGCTTCTCCCTGTACCTTGCGCTCACTGTCTCATCAAGGCTTTCAACATAATATGATGAGTAGACAACCTGAGAATCTGCAGCTTGCATTGCCATTTCCATTCATTTTTGACCCACACACATACACACGGGGTAGGCTTTGCCACTCAAATGGCGGACAGGATACGTCGCCATTGGCAACACTTAAAAAACCACACCGATTGCAAATCCTCTATAATACCCCAAGCCCAAACAATCTTTATTTCGTTGCCATTCAATATGGCGGTGGTTGTACCACAGAACAGCACTTTTCTACTCTAGTACCTCACTGTAATACACTCCATTCTTGGGGTGGGAAGGTTCAATACTGTACAGTTATCTCACTAAGTGCAAACTCGGGCACAGTTAACCCATACACAGTGCAGGGATGGGCTACATAAGTGTTGTCGATTTCCTCGTGGTCATAGTGGACAGTCTGAAATGGGCACACTACACTAGTAGATAGCATGTTAAAAAGCTGAGACACATAATGGTAAATGTCCAGTAGTTTACCTACTCTGAAATCTGTAAGGGGTCAGTGTGCTCACGATCTGTATCCATCCCATCCCCATCCTGTTTCCCTTTCGTTTTTATTCGCAACATGTTTTAAATATATTATCCGACCGGATAAGTTCTGACAAATCAAGGTACCGCTACATACCTGTACAAAACGTACTCTACAACACTAACCTTCGGCTAAGATGTCCTCCACAGTCACGTTATACTGTTCTATCTGAAAAGACTTTCCCTGCCACCTAGTCTTCCCGACCCCGTTACCCCCTCCTCCACCAAGCAGTTTCAACATACCCAAACGGAAACTGAGCTGCGGCACACAAAGCCGGAATGACGCTGGACGCTCTATATAGGAGCTTACTCAGCAGAATCCCGGCCACGCCTTTTGTCTGCGAAGGCACCCCCGCGCCAGCCACGGTTAATTATTCATGAGATGGTGCGTGGGTGGTGAAATTTAGAGGGTGTGGTTTGGTCGTGGCTAGCTAGCTACTAACGTCCACAGTCTTGGCGAGTGGGAGCGAGCACACAATGACTGTCTCGACGGCAATTCGCTAGGGTTGGAGCCTGGCCTGTTGCGTTTCCTCTGATTCCGCAGGACGTTTAGCTCTTGCTCGTATATACACGACTTCTAGGAAGTCGTGCTTCCCTTTCTTCCGCTGTTTCCGTGGCCAGGCGTTGCCTTGCCCGTTCCCTATCACGCAGTCGCCGTCGAGAAAGACGAGCCTCTCTGCTCAGAAGCCTCACTGGCACGACGTTCTCTTTCCCTTTCTCGTCGGCGACGAACGGCATCTTCTCTGGACCAATCAATCGCAGAATCGACGATGCTGAGCTTGCTAGCTAGCTACAGCTATAGGGCAGCGATTGCAGCGCATGCCAAGGAGAGTTCTCTCGCAGCGCGTGGAAGTGAAGCTCGTTACGAACCCGCGCATGCGCACTTAGACGACGTTGGATGTGAAGTGTTGAGGTTGATGAAATGATGTCGGCATGCTTTCTTACATAATGAAGCTGTCGTGTCGCTCCCTGGACTCATCTCGCCCCCTCCCCCCTATGTACTCCTCTCACTCTCTCTGCGAAAGTTCTCCAACTCGTCTTCTTTTCGGTTTGCTGTCAACTGTGACTGGCGTGGCGATGAACCATGATACAAGCCTTCGGTATCAACCATGGGCTCCCTAAGTCCGAATTCATACATCATCTGGCAACTAACTCTACCGAACACCCAAATCCCTCCGTGAGTATCTGTTTGTTGACGCCCGTAAGGCGAACCTAATTCCCCGCGTGACACTGTAACTCGTCCCGCCTCTACAGCCTTAAGTGAGGACATATGGACTATTGTCACCTGTATCACAAACAAAACGGTACTACCAAGAACCATGATGAAGAACGGGAAAAGAAGCAAGCAATTTCTAATTGATGCCCCCCCGTACAGCAAATCGTCTTCCGGTACACCTACCAGCAACAATGAACCCCCAGTTCGCCTTTATCAAGTCCAGGAGTCCCAGCTCGATCAGTCTCCTGTCCACCAGTTACTGTCAAGCTCTGTTTTTTCAAATTCCTAGATCTGAAGGACGAGCTGAGGTCTCTTAAGACTGATATCGCGAGCATAAACAGGAGACCACCAGCTGTCTTCC